AAAGAAAATGAAAAAAAGAATTAGCAAATAATAAAAGAATAAGTAACCAAGAGGTGTAAAATCCAAAGATAATAATAATAATAATAATAGTAATAATATAATAATAATAGATAACAACAAATGATAATAACTAATTACTCATACTTGTTTAAGATTGAGTCAAGTTGTAACGACCCGGCCTTTCATTTTATGAGTTATCGCTCCGTTTCTCCCATTTCTGCTTTTTTATGCTTTGTTCATCTGTGTTATATCGTATCGGGTAGGTTGGTTCGAATTCCGAAGGGTTTTGGAAAAGTTTGACACACTTAGTCTCTTTTGAGTAAGCTTAAGTTGGAAAAGTCAACCGGATGTTGACTTATGTGAAATAGGTCTCAGATGTGAATTCTGACGGCTCGAATAGCTTCATAAGGTGATTTGGGACTTAGGAGCGTGATCGGAATGTGTTTGGAGGTCTGGGGTAGATTTAGGCTTGAATTGGCGAAATTGAAATTTTGGCGTTTTCCGGTTGGTAGCGGAGATTTTGATATAGGGGACGGAACGGAATTCCGGAAGTTGGAGTAGGTCCGTGGTGTCATTTGTGACGTGTGTGCAAAATTTCAGGTCATTCGGATGAGGTTTGATAGACTTTTTGATCAAAAGCGGAATTTGGGAGTTTTTGGAGTTCTTAGGCTTGAATCCATGGTTAATTCGATTTTTCGATGTTGTTTTAGGTGTTTCGAAGATTGGTATAAGTTTGGATGGTGGTATATGACTTGTCCGTACTTTTGGTTGAGGTCCCGGGGACCTCGGGGTGATTTCGGATGGTTGACGGGAGGTTTGGAGTTGGAATTTGCAGTTGAAGTGCTGAAGCTCCTGTCATAACCGCAGCTGCGGCTTGGGGATCGCAGGTGCGGGTTCGCAGAAGCGCCCAGAGGGTCGCAGATGCGAAAATGGGCATGGGGAGCTGGAACCGCAGAAGCGGTTGTTTGAGCGCACCTGCGATAGTGCAGGTGTGGTATTATGATCGCAGGTGCGGTCCTAGTGCGGTTAAGTGGTTTGCGCAGGTGCGCACCTAGGACCACAGGTGCGGGTCTGCAGGTGCGAGATTTTGTACCGCAGAAGCGATTTAGCTGGGGCAGAACATATATATTTGGCCCTTCGCGATTTTCAGCTCTTCTTCACCATTTTTAAGTCGATTTTAGAGCTTTTTGGGAGTTTTTGAAGAGGGAATTCAAGGGAACTTTATTGAGATAAGATTTTTGAACATAAAACTCGTTTCTATGGTGTTATTTCACGGATTAGGCTTGTAATTTATGAAAATTAGTGGTTGAAATTGAAGAAAACTAGGGCTTGAAATTGGAGACCTAAAATTAGGGATTTGAGGGGTCATTTGTGGTTGGATTTTGGTAAATTTGGTATGTATGAACTCGTGAGAGGATAGGAATTCCATTGATGTTAATGTTGTTAGATTTCGAGACGTGGGTCCGGGGGTCGAGTTTGGCCAATTTCGAGTTTCTTGATGCAATTTGATCATTTTCGCATGGGCTTCATTCCCTTAGCATATTCTAATGTTATGATACTGATTTTGGGTAAATTCGATGCTGAGTTGAGGCCGATTCGAGAGGCAAGGGCATCGCGGACTAGAGTTTGGACTGGATTGAGGTAAGTAATGATTGTAAATGTTGTCCTGAGGGTATGAAACCTCGGATTTTACATCGTTGTGTTATTTTGAGGTGACGCACACGCTAGGTGACGAGCGTGGGGTCGTGCACCGTTGGGGATTGTGAACTGGTCCGTCCCGTACGACTATTAAGTCGCGTATTTACTTGGAAACTATTTGATATTGTTATATTTTGGAAAGTATTATTGTGTTTAGGGCTAATGCCGGGTCTGGGCCTTGTGCCGATTGTTTTGGACCCTTATGGGGCTTTTACTACTGATTTCCTTGCTGTTTTTGGTTTGATATTTACACTCAGTCATGCTAAGTTCTTACTGTTTTCATAACTCGGTTTTATTCACTCATCTTGATTTCATAAATGATATATTTAGCCGAGTACTTGTTTTACTGTCAGCCCGAGGGGCTTGAGTGAGTTTTGATTGAGTGAGGCCGAGGGCCTGTGTTGTGAGGATGTTATGGGATCGGGCTGCACGTCGCAGCATGTGGTACTGATTTGTGATATATGAGAGGCCGAGGGCCTGATTTATTATGCCACGAGGTGGCTTTGATTGTTATGAGGCCGAGGGCCTATTTGATTATGCCACGAGATGGCTTGTTATAGCGCTTGGGCTGTAAGGAGCCCCTCCCGGAGTCTGTACACCCCCAGTGAGCGCGGGTACCCAGTGTGAGATGTGATATTGCCCGAGGGGCTGTTGTTGTTTCATGTTGTTCCCCGAGGGGCTGATACGAGTGATTGTGAGATAGCCCGAGGGGCTGGTTCTATTGATATTTTGCCCGAGGGGTGGTTATGGTACCTGTTTTGCCTGAGGGGCTGTTTACGTTTCTATACTTTTACTCACCGCTTTCATCACTCGTTTGAAACTATTGAAAAGTGTTTTAAAAGGTTTTACTGAACTGAGATGTTTTATGAGTTTTACTGCTTTACTGCATTGTTCTGAACTTATACTATTTGCTGTAGCATTATGTTATGGTTTACGTGTTTTCTTACTGCTCAACTGCCTTTACTTTTATTACTTACTGAGTTGGCGTACTCGCATTACTCCCTGCACCTTGTGTGCAGATCCAGGAGTCTCGGGTCACGCTAGCGAGTGCTGATTTGTCTTCCAGCAGGCTTTCGGAGTTGACTTAGTAGCTGCTTGGCGTTAGCAGCCCAGTGCTTCTCCTTCCTATCTTTATTCTGCTTTGCATTAGTTTGTGTTAGACTATGTTATCTTTTCGTATTACTAGACGAGTTGTAGTTGCTCATGACTGGTGACACCCCGATGTCGGGCTGTGTTTTGTTTCCGCACTGTTCTATTCTACCTTACATTTTGGGAATTAGCTTATTTATGACTTTGAAATGACTTATTATAATTGTTGGATTGGTTTTGGGGTTTGTGTCGGCTGGCCTAGTCTCACGATAGGCGCCATCACGATCGGGTCCGTTTTAGTTCGTGACACAAGTAATAGTTATTATATAGAGATAATAACAATAATAATAATAATCGACACATTTTCTTTTTAGTCATTAATTGGATGGTGTAGTATGAACGCATGATATTGCATGGTCTTCTTAGTCAAAATTGATATAGGTCTGGTCATTGCAATGGTTGTTTATTTGCACATATATGATATTGAACAAGAATTTTAGTAACATTTCAAAGTGGAAATTCAGGAAATTTACTTTTTTACTGAACAATTTGAATTATGAATTTTCTTAAATCTTTTAACATACCGGGAACCATATTAAGTGGAAACTTAGTTACGACTTTACCATTCATTATACGTAGTGCAAGATTCGTTTTTTAACCAAAGATCTTCCTGTATTCTTTCTTATTATTTTTCTATTTTTGGGCCGAGCACTCTCCCAAATACCTATCAATGAGCACTAGAAATGTTTATATACACGCGCTCTCTAGATATATCTATATATAAATAAATAAATAAATAGATAAAAAAGAAAAGAAAAGAAAAGAAAAGAGTAGTGACAAGTGAGCAAGTGTCAACTGTGAAGTGAAAAATAAGGTCAACAATAAAAACAAAATTATAATAAATAAACTCGAGTCTTTTACATAGAGATCAATGAGCCACAAACTGATACAAATTAGTAGCTAACTTTCTCATTAATTATACGTTTGTTTGTGTCTTTTTTAAAACTGAATACTGTGTGCTGCTTCGGAAGTAGCTCTTAATTGCATTTCTTGGCATTATCTATTGATAAACTCTGATCTTGGTCATGGCGATTTAACAGTGAAAACTACTGTATACAACTTGTAATTTTATTCTAAATCAAAGAATATTTCTACTGTCAATGATAATAATAATTTTCAATTTGGTAGAGATAAATCATAAATGTCACTAATATCATTTTAACACCAGAGTGTTTAATTTATACACATCGTTTTTTCACCATTATTAAGGTTTCTGCTTCGCGAATTTAATTGTAAGATATTATTTATCTTAAATAAGTATAAAGTGCGAATGTCTACGAATTTATAACTAAAAAGAAGAATATAGAACAAAATTTGGAATAATTTCTTAATTATGTGATAACTTACTAATATTTGTTCTGGCATGGTAAGTGAACAAGGGAGGTAATCAATATATAATTATTTTATCTTGATTTTTTTCTCTCCAAAGGTTAAGGTCTGATATGTCTTAAGGCATACGTTACAACAAAATCAACAAGGGTGTGTTTTGATAAAAAAAAAAAAAAAGAATAAATTGAGAATATTATATCTTGAAAAATCATTTTCTAGATTTTTTTCTCAATATTTAATAAAGCATAAAGGTAGTGACAAATGGTAATAATACAATGTGGACGATATGATCTGTAGATAATACTTTAGATAATATTTTTGAGTAGTAATTAATAAGTTCGCATTAACGTCTATGTGTTAGGTTGAACAAGCGACATAAAGTAAAAATTAAAATATTCGTAAACGCAAATGGCTAGCGCGTAAGTAACTAAACACCGACAGATACACTTTAGACGTATTTAAGTAACAAAATACTAGAAAATATTACCCGCCGCTATACTAAACAAACCCTAAAAGGAAAACAAAAACAAAAAACCAAAAAGTATACCCTTGTCTTGACTCAAGAAAGAAAATAAAAGAAAAAGCAAATAAGTCAATAAAAATTATTAGTTTGGTCAACACTCAACATGCACACTAACCAGTAGAGGGTTCTATATAAGCAGAGGCTTAAGTGCAAAAATCACACCTCAAACAAGCTTAAGCTAATCAACCTTCCAAAAAGTTAGAGTTTCACTTGTTAATTCAGCCATTTTCCCTTGAATCTCCTCTTCATTATGTCTCAACAAGAAATTAATAATCAACCTAATGAAGGATTAGTTAATCCAATGGCTCCTTATAATGGGATGATTAATGAAGTTCATGTGATGCTTGTTGATCATGACCAGGAGACTATTTATGAGATGGTTGATTTGCTTGAGTCTCACAAATATAAAGGTAAAAATGGCCATCTTTAGATATATAGAACTAACCTTTGTTTTTCCCCTCTTTGATATAACTTTTGTGTGATTTCCTTTTTATAAGAGATTTAATTGATGCTTGTTATCTCATTTGTGAATTCTTTAACATCTCTTTTAGATTTTGTTTATCCTGTAAATCTTGGATTTCTTTTCTTTGTCATAACACTTTTTCTATGCTTGTTTCTATTGCTTTTTGTAGCTAATAAATGAGTTTTTAGTGGTTATACATAAATATATTAGATTCTCTACTTTTGGTCCTTGCTATGTGCTTGTCACACAAAATCGCGATAAAAGAGCTCCGTTTTCAAATAGATTTGTCCAAAAATAATAAAAATTACATTGGTGAGAATATAGGTTGATGTGTCTTTGATTGGCTTTCTCCACAAATGTATATATGGTTTTCCAAAGGGGAGGGATGATGATAGTTTTTAGTTGATTATTTTATTTATTTAATCAACTTAAAATCCGTCCTTTTTTGTTTCTAAAATAATTCCGTATGTTTTTTTTTCACCTAGTCCTTTTGACAAAAAAGGGAAATTAAACCATAGAGTTCTTTGTCTTGGCCTAGAGTGACAAGAGAGTTGGAGGAGGAAACCCCTTAAAAATGATTTTTGAAGGTAGATCTTTAATTTTTACAAATCTAGCTATGATCTAGAGAGAAAAATATTTGGGGGGGGGGGGGGGAGGGGGGGAGAGACATCAGGATTAGGGCAGAGCGGCGGAAGGAAAAAAAACAGAAGGACCAGATAAGAATCGACATGTCTATCATTATTATTGACCTTAAGTAAAAGATTTTATCTTTTTATTGAATTTAGACAAAAAAAATTGGTTGACATGATTTTCACAATTAAAAAAACATTTTTCTTTTTTGTTTAATTAAAAAATTTCTTCCTTTCATTTGGAATCATATCCATGATGCCATTTTTTTTCCTTTTCATTTATGCAAAGGTTTAATTTTACCTTTGCTTAAGATTCATATCATGGATTTTTTCCTATGTAATTTCAATAAAAAACAATAAAACATCTTGTATCTTTAAAGAAACTTTTTGGTTGTAATATTTTCCATAAACATGTGTTATTTCACCCTTTTGACTGAGCGCGTCGAATTAAAAAATATTCAAATAAATTTTTTCTCAATTTGAAAGAAACAAAATTGGATCTATTTTAATAACTAATTTCCAAATATTATTTTGCATTTCGGCTCAACCTTAATGGTCATTTAGTTACTTCCTCTACTTTAATTAGGACAATAAACAATTTTCAGAATATTTGGAAAAAAGAAGTAAGTGCTACAATTATCTTACCCAAAAAACTAGCATAAAATGTGGATTCTCTTTAGATTTAGAGAAAGGAAATATAGTCTTTACTTGTCTACATAATGACATTAATCGTTTTGACTAGAATTGGTGTGCTACAATTTGTTATAGTGGTTGTGACATTTTATTTTATGGAAATAAAAAGGATGCGTTTATCAGTTAAAATGGTACAGAAAAGAAAGTAAAAGATGTTTAAGATATCAGATTTTAATTCGCATGGCATGATAAAAAGCATGGCAAAATGTGAGAGGGAAAAAAGGTTTTTTTAAACCTTTTTCTGCCTTTAGAAACTTCCGAAACTCAAAGTCAATACCTAAAATCTAAATAATGGGTTAGGGTTTCATTTTAGATACTCCCTCTGTTCCAGTTTAGGTGAACCTATTTTCTTTTTGGTCTGTTCCAAAAAGAATGACCCCTTTCTAAATTTGGTAACAATTTAGTTTAAACTTACAATTCTATCCTTAATGAGAAGCTTTTATAACCACATAAATACTCTGAGCTCCTTTTTGGCTTGTTTAGGACTACAAATTTCAAAAGTCTTCATTTTTTCTTGAATTCCGTGACCAGTCAAACAAGTTCACATAAATTGAAACGGAGGGAGTACTTAAGATTAAAAACACACCACACTGTAATATAATCCATCAAATACTAGTATTATATTATGCAACACCTCTTTCCGGAAGGTGGAGATTTAGGTAACACCTATTTCTAGAAAGTATACATATTTTGTCGATTTGTAGCTCATCGAAGTTCATTGAAGATTCAACACATCATATTCTGTCGTCTTATATCATCTAATTAATAACCGTTTGTACTTTTGTTGTCGTACAACAAATTCGGATTTTAATGAAATTATTGTAATAACATACGGATTTCATAAAACTTTCAATTAATATATTCACATTTAATTGGATTAGAGAACAACAAATTATTAATAAATCCGCCCCCCTTGCAAAATCTTCTAAACTTATTAAAATCTTCATGAAATAAAATTATATCAAACTTGTGCGCCTATTATCTCTTGCTTTTGATAGTATCTTTATTTAGTGTTTGTTTAATTTCTTCCGGTCATTTGAATAAATAGGAATAGATTCTTAGCTTTAACAATCTTTCACTGCTCTAGTTACTAATTTATCCTAAATAGTTCGTCGATATTTTTTTTTTTTAACTAGTACCTGTCTAATTCATTGCACACATTTGCTTACTATATAAGTTGCTCGATATGTGCCTTAAAGAGAAAGTTTATCGATATGTACAATTTGAAGTTCGTTCCATAAATAAAGTATAGCATTATAACATGAAAAATTTTATAATTGAAACTTATATGAGAAATAAACAGACCCTCATGCTAATATATAATTGAAGAATTAACCTAAATAGTTGCTCACCCAATCGTTTAAACTAAATATCATCCATGTATAACCATATATAGTCAGTGTATTATAATATATGTATATTGGTTAGGAAAAGTAAACAGTGAATCTGGCTGACTATTTATGTATTTTGTGAAAATTTTGTGTATATTGTTTTCCTTCTTTGTTCTTCACTGACTTTCAAATGCATTGATGCAGTTACGACTGTTGGTGCTGCCGAAATGGCTATGAATATGCTGTCCAAAGGCAAAGAAAGATATGATGTTATGATAATCAATGCATATTCACCTGATTTGCTTTCCACTCGGCTTTTGGGTCAAGCAGTGGCGTTGGACATCATTTCGATCTGTGAGTATTTCAATATGTAACTCTATTATTTTTATAGTGAATTATAAATTTCAGTGAGTTTAACCTAAAAAAATTATAATGCAGTTGTCTGTGATGATAACAATCCTTTCTTAGCAAAGAAGGCTTTGGACGTTGGAGCTTACCTCTACTTGAAAAAACCACTACAAGAGGAAATGGTGAAATACTTGTGGCAGTTTGTACTGAAGGAAAAACTGCAAAGAGAGAAAGTGAAAAAAGTTTTAGAAAATGGAGAGAATATGATCAACATTGGCGAAGATAATGAAACTGGTGAGAATGTTGGTGATGAACAAGGAGAGAGGAGTATTGGTAATGATGAGGAACAGAATAACAATCATGAGGTTGAAAACAGTGAATCCAATGGAAAATACAAGCTGAGGAAAAAGAGAGGTAGAAAAAGCACAAAAAAGGCTAATCAAGGAGACAGCCATAGCAGTGGTAAGTCTGTTAAGCGAAAGGTTTGCACAGAGTGGACTTTGGAACTTCATGCTAAATTCTTGGAAGCTGTGGCTCAACTTGGTGAAGGAAGTAAGTTTACTTCAAAATTTAATTTCTCTTTTTATTTATATATATATATGTACAGTCAAACCTCTCTACAACAGCATCCATGTACAACCAAATTTTACTTGGAACCGATTTTTATGTTATGTTAACAACACTTCACTATATATAGTAACCAAAAAAATATCGGAACAAATAAAGTTTTTATAGAGAGGCTTGATTATACCTTATATAATAATGGTATGAGATGAGCTTAAATAGAACGACATGATGCTGTCAGAAATAATATTATTATAACCGACTTGATTTAGGAATATCTCAATTATATTAAGTTATATTCTTATGGAACCTACAGGATGTTATCCGAAAGAGATTCTTGAGCTGATGGATGTGCCTGGTCTTACCAGGATGCAAGTTGCAAGCCATCTTCAGGTACATTGATATATATATATATATATATCAATGTACTGTTTTCATGTTACTAACTAATGTTACTAATTCCTTTTTCACCTTCAACACCTATCAGAAATGTCGCAACGACAACTGGAGAGCTCCAGAAGAGCGAAAATCTTCTCGTAACTCATCACGTCAGGGCTCGTCCAGTGGTTCTCAACAACGAAGTGGCCACAGAAAGTTTGGTTCAATGCCTCGTATCCAACCAAATATCGTCACAAATCTGCAACAGCAGCAACTTGACCAAGAAATTAACCAAAGAAGTCCTCCTGAGTTTCAGTTTCCACCACTGAATAACAGTAACATTATTGCTGGAGGAGAGAGTTCAACTCAAGAGGAACAGGCTTATCGCCCACAGCTTCCTTATGTTGAACCCCAATACCTTAGCATTGGCAGCCCATTTAATAACCCAAATTTTACCCAAAATAATGCTGGTGGTTTTGTGCAACAACAACAACAAAATGGACCTTTTGTTGGAATGATGGGCCAAGGACAGGGCCCAATAATTGGGGGCACTAATTACAGGCCTGGGTTTCCGATTAATAATGGGCCGGATCATAATGCTCAAAATGGCTACAACATGAATGTTAATGCGGCCCATTTGGGATACTCAGGTGGCCCAATGATTTCAGATATGAATGGAAATATGACAATGAATGGGTTGGGCTTTGCAGTAGCAGCAGCAAATGCTAATTTCCAGCAACAATTTGGTCAGCCCAACATGACCGAGCCCAACAATTCAAATGTGAGTGATTCCGAAGGAACTGATTCAAATGATGGACAAAACTGTGATCAATATTTCGATTTCAATGATGTGGATTATCTGTTCCAGAATCTTGGACCTCCTACCTCCAACCTACCTAATGAACAAGGCACTGAGTTTGGTCCAGTTTACTCTGATGATCAGGTTAGTGCTTTCTATCTAACTTTGCTTATCTCGCAACTTTACTATTGACTTATTTGAAATGTACATTTGACCAACGGTAAAGTTGTTCACGTACCGTCTATAGGTCACGATTCGAGCTGTAGAAATAGTCATTAATGTTTGCATTAAAGTAAGTTGTCTACATCACATCCTGAAATGCGTCCCTTCCCCGCACCCTGCGTGAACACAAAATGCCTTGTGAGGCTGCCCTTTTATACGACAAAATGTCATTTTCGAAAAAAGAATTCCGAAAAGAGAGTATTTTTTGAAAAATCGATAACAATGTCAGCAAATATGCTAGCTGATTATATTTTTTTTAGTAGCAAAAATGTATAATAATATCTAGATGGTGGTTAAGACTGATATAAAAATTAAAGTTGAGTTAATGGTAAAGAAAAATGACTTCAGCCAGTGAGGAAAGTCATTTGAGAAAATGATACTGTATAGCTGTTCTTAAAATACTAGCCGAAGAAATGTATATTTTTTTGTATTTTGTATATATATATATATTATGTATGTTATAGACAAAAATTTATAAATTTTATATATTTTTTTTCGGCTACCAATGTAAATGTTTTCTACCGTGGGCTAAAGATGATAATACCCCAAGTCATTTTCTCCTCTTTTTTCCCTTTTTTGGGTAGAAAACGGAACGTTCTCCTTCTCCCTGTAAATATTTCCTCACAATCAATATCAAACACTGAAAAATAAATTATTTACCAAAAATAATTTTCCATGCTACCAAAGTCCAAACAGACTAATTTCTTGTTGATTTAACCTTAAACCAACATATGCAGGTGAAACCAAGTGTCCCTTTTCCTGGAATAGCAAACTTTCCTGACGATTTGGCATGATCCGATGCTGTCATTGACAATTCTGTTTTCTGAAGTGGAAATTGCATTTTTCATTTGCTGGATTTTGGAGATTATGTTGTTTGGTATTACTTGGTTTGCAGGAACTATTGGATTGGTATTTTGTTTTTTTTGTTTTTGTTTGGAACTAATGGCCGGTATTAGATTACAGGCTTTGGTTATATTCTTGATTTGGGATTATTGTTTTCTTTAGTATCTCATTGATCATTAAAACCTTTTGGTTGACTGATTTATATTATGGGACTGATTATCTGTGGGATTAATTGCATCTTAGTTATGCAATAATGTTTGGTTTTTTCTTTAATCAATGGGATGATGCCTTTTTATTATCGCACTCGGCTTTTGTTCCCGCACCCAACCAATTTTCTTCATTACTTGTCTTGTCTACTCTTTTTCTTTAAAAAAATTAAATTTTGATACAAAAAAGTTTAATCATACTCCAATTTTTGATTGATGCTATTTCGTTCCTCAATCTTAAGTGTTGCTCTTTTATAAGAAGACAATCTCAATTAGTGAATTACAATAATCTCTTTATCTGAGTGTTTCTCAAAGTCATTTCAATCCTTTTCAAAAAATTTCAAAGGGTATATTTGATGATAGAAGCTTCAAAATTCATGTTAATTTGAACATCTGATTTTGCTTTAATATAAGATTATTATGTTAAAGTTTTCTAATCGTGTGCTGCACAATTTATGATAGACCTAGGTACTAATACTGAGTTAATTTTATCCATGGTCATTGAATTTTTGGGTTTGTTATCCAAAGTCACTTTTCTTTTTTTTTGTTACGTAAAAATCATTTAACTTTGTGTTCATTACACAAAAAATTACTTTTCTTTCTTTTGTTACACAAAAATCATTTTACTTTGCTCTAGTTATCACAAAAGTCACATTTTTACTTGAAAAGTCTATTATGCCCTTGATATTATATAAACCTTCATATTTATGTAATACATTCTATATTATATACTATATAATATATTTTTACCTATGTATTTTATTTATAAATAAAATAACTTAATATTATTTTATTTATTATTTTATAATATATATTTTAGACAAGGTGGGTTGCTCTGGTGCTAAGCACCCTCCACTTCCAACCAAGAGGTTGTGAGTTCGAGTCACCCCAAGGGCAAGGTGGGGAGTTCTTGGAGGGAAGGATGCGGGGTCTATTGGAACAGCCTCTCTACCCCAGGATTAATTTTCAAAATATATTAGTAGCGTTATAAAACAACTTTTTTCAGCAATTCTTTTTTTTTTTTTTTTGGAATTTAATTGACCGACCAAAATTGGTCGGTAATTTCCGACCAAGTTTGGTCGGTATGCCTTTCCGGCCTTCAAAATACCGATCACACATTAATGGTTGCATTTTGGATAGTTATTGGCCATTACCGACCAACTTTGGTTGGTTTTTTTGGACGGTTTTTCCCGAAGTTTTAGTAGTGTAACTTTTTAAATAACCAATTGCCCAGGTAAATCATCAAGAAAATATCCCTAGCTAAATTCGCATGTAGAGTTACCTAGGGATTTTACTTCAGATTAACATATGATTTTTTCCTCATTTTCTTTGTTTGTTTACCTACGAATTTTCTCACGGAAATATAGTTGCCTATTTATTTCTCTACTAATATATATTAAAGCAAATGACAAATTTAATAACGCTACTAATATATCTTGAAAATTAACGTTAAGAAAATATTAAATATATGAATATATTATAAAAATAATAAATAAAATAATATTAAGTTATTTTACTTATAAATAAAATACATAGGTAAAAATATATTATGCAGTATATAATATAGAATGTAATACATAAATATGAAGGTTTATATAATATCAAGGGCATAATAGACTTTTCAAGTAAAAATGTGACTTTTGTGATAACTAGAGCAAAGTAAAATGATTTTTGTGTAACAAAAGAAAGAAAAGTAATTTTTTGTGTAATGAACACAAAGTTAAATGATTTTTACGTAACAAAAAAAAAGAAAAGTGACTTTGGATAACAAACCCAAAAATTCAATGACCATGGATAAAATTAACTCAGTATTAGTACCTAGGTCTATCATAAATTGTGCAGCACACGATTAGAAAACTTTAACATAATAATCTTATATTAAAGCAAAATCAGATGTTCAAATTAACATGAATTTTGAAGCTTCTATCATCAAATATACCCTTTGAAATTTTTTGAAAAGGATTGAAATGACTTTGAGAAACACTCAGATAAAGAGATTATTGTAATTCACTAATTGAGATTGTCTTCTTATAAAAGAGCAACACTTAAGATTGAGGAACGAAATAGCATCAATCAAAAATTGGAGTATGATTAAACTTTTTTGTATCAAAATTTCTCACATATATGTAGGTGTCAACTCTGAAAAAATTATTTGTCAAAAATCATTCTAAAGAGACAATCATGATTTTGCCCCTACAAAACCACGACGATTTAGCTATTGAGACCAGTGGCGGAGCCTCTTTATGCTGGGGTGTCAACTCACAATTTTTCGTTCGAAATTCTACTGTTTAGCTTAGGGGTGTTCGTCGGTCGGTACAATACGGTATTTAGATATTTTGGTTCGATATTTTTGTATTCGTTTCTTAAAATCCTATACCAATACCGTACCTAAATAAATTCAGTATGGCGGTTTTTCTCCTTTAGATTTCGGTTTATTCGGTTCGGTAATTTCGGTTTATTCGGTTTGAATACTAACTAATGCATAGAGCCATACACTCTAATATTCTTAATTAAAGTACTCAAAAATTGTGATGACCCAAAAGGTCATCCCGTGTTTTACAAGTCAAATATGTGTTCCGAGGCCTTTAAAACCTTCTTTTGTTTCACCGCGATTTGCGTGCGCAGTTCGGGCGTATATCCGGAAAGCCCTTATGTGAAAATTTAAGAAAAATGCTAAGTTTTGCCTTTAAAATGGAATTAAGTTGACTTCGGTCAACATTTTAAGTAAACGGACCCGGACCAGTGTTTCAACGATTCCGTAGGGTCCGTAGTAAAATATGGGACTTGGGCGTATGCCCGGAATCGAATTTTTGAGGTCCCTAGCCCGAGAAAATAATTTTTGAAGAAAATTATTTGCTGGAAAATATAAGCATTTGTAGAAATAAAATAGTGTGTAATCCTGATGGTATCGGGCCCGTATTTTGATTTCGGAGCCCGGTACATGTTTAAAATAATATTTAAGTCGAACCTGTGAAATTTGGTAAGAATCGGAGTTGATTTGATATAAATCGAACCCATAGTTGAGAAAATAGAAATTTCAATGCTCTTGAGAATTTTATGAATTTTGGTGCTAAATTCGTAGTTGTTGATGTTATTTGATGATTTGATAGCACGAGCAAGTCCGTATGATATTTTTTGACTTGCGTGCATGTTTGGTTTGGAGCCCCGAGGGCTCGGGTGAGTTTTGGATAGGGCACGGGGTGAATTTGGACTTAGAGAAATGGTTGTTGCAGGTTCAGCTGTGTTGCATGCGAGGGCCAGTCATCGCAATTGCGAGGGCTTGATCGCATTTGCGAAGAAAGCCCAGGCATGCCTTGCAGGGAGGGCCAGTCATCGCAATTGCGGCCAAACGCTCGCAATTGCAAAAGGAGCAAACATGCAGCAGGTTCACAATTGCGAAGCCTGTCTCGCATTTGCGAGCTTCGCCATTGCGAAGCTCCTGTCGCAATTGTGACATCTGCACTTGAGCAAAAATCATTTGGACGGGATTTCAACTTCATTCTTCAAAATTTCGAACCCTAAGCATCCCTAGGCGATTTTTCAAAGGCTCAAACTTCTCCAAATCATAAGTGATTTCTAACTCATCTTCTTCAATCTAATTCATCTTTTTACATAATTTCACTTCAAAATCTAGGGTTATTCATGGGAAATTTGGTGTTTTGGGGTAGAAGTTAGGATTTTCGAATTTTGGGGATTTGGACCTCAAATTGAGGTCCGATTTCAAATCTAATTGCATATTTGAGTTCGTGGGTGAATGGGTGATCGGGTTTTGGTTCAAACTTCGGGTTTTGACCAAGCGGCCCGGGGTCGGTTTTTGACTTTTTGGGGAAAACATTGGGAAATCTATTTTCATGCATTAGAATTGGTTTATTTAGAATTTATTGATATTATTAAGTAAATTATGACTAGATACAAGCGGATTGGAAATATAACCGAGAGGTAAAGCGGTAATTGAGGCGTGATTTTGTCCGTGGAATTGAGGTTAGCGTTTGATCTAACCTTAGCTTGAGAGGAATATGAGTCGTGGTCTTAATTGCTACGTGTTAGTGTTGAGTACGACGTATAGGCATGGTGGCAAATATCTATATGTTGGTGTCAAGCATGCCCGCGGGTCTTATACCGTGATTGTCGTGACTTTATTGTGTATTATCCATGCTTAGGTTGAGGATTATAAATGTTGAACATGATTCATGATAATTCCTTAGTAATTGACCATTGTTGAGTATTGGCTCAAGTTGGGATTCGTTTTGTGAAGTAATTGTTGGAACGAAATTGGTTATAGCTGATTCCCTTGCCGGGATGTTATTGTTCATATTGTTGATTCCCTTGCCGGGATGTTATTGTTCATATTGTTGATTCCTTTGCCAGGGTGTTATCATTTATATTATTGATTCCCTTGCCGGAACGTATTGTTTGTATTGTTTGAGTGAAGGGAAGTGTGAAGCACGAAGGGTGATGCCGTGCATGATATTGTGAGTTAGTGTTAAAGCACAAAGGGTGATGCCATGCCGATATTGTGAGTGTTAATGCACGAAGGGTGATGCCGTTCCATGATTATGAGAGTAAAAGCACGAATGGTGATGCCGTGCCCATATTGTGAGAGTTAATGCACGAAGGGTGATGTCGTGCCATGATTATGAGAGTTAATGCACGAAGGGTGATGCCGTGCCGATTTTGTTGATTCTTTTGGTGAGGACGGGAGTAAAAGCACGAAGGGTGATGTCGTGCACGTGTTACTTTTTCCT